ACTTTTCTTTTTTTATTAATGATAAAAGTTATCTACAAATACAACAACCAGTGACCACTAAGCGTTGAGAGAGAGGGCTTTAAAATGTACCTCTGGTGCCTGAGCCAACATTTGCAGGGCTTTGGAGGACAAGAGTAACAAATGGAACCCCCCATACCATATCCTTGGCACTATTTGGACCAAAAGTACAAATCAAACCAGCACATTCTTAAATAAAACAAGTTATACTCTGTCTTACTCTGACAAATATACCTACCTAGGACTAGAATAAAGTTCAGAATTCCCTCCTACTTGTAGTGTTCTGTACTAGAATGTGACAGTAATGTGGTTAAATGGCCCCAACACTCGTGTTTCTCTCTCTCTCTCTCTCTCTCTCTCTCTCTCTCTCTCTCCTTCTGCACACTTCCAGCTTCCCCTTGCAGGACAGGTCTCTCCGTGACACTCCAGCCCTCCTGGAATCCCTCCCAGAAACCCCTCAGGTCTAGGAGTGTGTACATAGACAGCATAGCTCATCCTGGGGAAGGTAGTGCCAGAGACAAAACTGTGCAGGTCCTGGGGGCACAGAGAACCCAGGACTCCAGGGCCTGGGTAGCCAGAATATCACAGGCCGTGGTGGACATGTCCCTTTGACCTAGTCATGCTTTGCCTGTGGAGAAAGTCGTGACATGGTCAACAGTAGGACCATGAAGTATATGGGTATGGGCTATGAAGTACAGGGCCAGGGTGGGGACCCCTCTACATGGTCTCAGGGCCATATTCCCCTTAGTCTAACCCCAGTCATCTGCTATATTTCAGGGAAGAAACAGTTAGGAGATGATGCTGAAGAAAATTAATCTTCCATGATACTACTCTTTGGTTCTTCAAAAAAAGTCTCTTTGCCTCCTCCTTTATTAAAATTATAATTTTAGTTATGCTTGCATCTATTCCATAATTTGATTCTGAAAGACCCTTCTCCTGGGGAACAGACACTTAAGGGAAATCTGGAACACTTACCTGGAAGAGCTTAATGGTTCATTGGACTCCACCCTGAGTGGGAAGCCAGGGATATTTTTAGATCTTGAGAAAAAGAAAGAACTCCAATGAGAGGTTCATTAAGGATGAGTTAAATATGGACAAAGGAAGAGAGGGCAGTCTTTGAGGACCTATTATGTGACCTTGATTGATGGAGAGCCATTTGAGGTCTAGGATGATGACACCTATTGATCTGATAATGATGACACTAGTACATAGTGATTAACAGATGTGAGGTACTATGCTAAGTACATACATATACATATGGAGTATGTATAACATATATATATGTGTATATATAAAATAATAGTACATAAGGATCACCTAATACAGCACCACTTTGAAGAAGAGAAGCTTAAAAAAATTTAGTAATATGCATGGAGCAATGCTGGAGGTTGCAAAACTGAAACTGTAGCTGGGCGTGGTGGCTCATGCCTGTAATCCCAGCACTCAGGAGGCTGAGGCAGGAGGATCGTTGGGAGTTCGAGACCAGCCTGGGCTACAAAGTGAGCTCAAGGCCAGGCTGAACTGCATAGCGAGACCCCATCTCAAAAAAGACAAAAAAAAAAAAAAAAAAAAACCCTGAAACTGCAGTTCAGGTTCATTTTGCCACAGAGTCTAAACTCTTAACCAGTCTGTTGTATCTAAGTACAGCTTCATAAAAATAGGCAAACTGGAAGCTTTTCAGATAAGACCTTCATGGGAATTAGAAGTGAAACCTTGAAGCACATGAACCAAATAAAGAAAAATGGCCTGAGGGGACCACTGCCTAGAAAGCCACTGCCTAGTGTGGGTGTACCAGAGCCTGGGAAACAGAGCTATGGGAACTTCTGTGGCCCAGGGGAGCCCAGGGACGGAGCATGGTCCTTGGTGCTACCCTGGGATGGAACAGCTTAGACCAAACCAGGGGCCAGAAAGTGCAGTCTGTGAAACTCAGCAGATTCGAGAAGCATAAAAAATGGCCTCACTCTCAGAAGCAACACTGACACAAGTCTAAAGAGATTTGTAAGGTTTGGTGTAGGATTCAATTAAGAGAGAAATGATAAATCTCATGCATAACACTGGATCCAAGAGATGGATTAGTGAAGGGGTCTTGAGAGGCCAATCTTCAACTCATTTATGTTTTAATTAAGACCAGGAGAAACTAATCCCTACAATATTTCTTGTGATTCTTTAATCCCTCACCTTTGTTTCCTATAACTATGTCCATGAAATTATATACAGTGGAAGGACTTGAAAAATGATGTGATTTTTCCCCCCTTGTTTCTGAGGGGCAAAATGGAGTGGAGAGCAAATGGAAAAGAGAAAAACAAGAGGAGGAAGTAGGAGGGGAAAGAAAGAAGGCTAAGGATTATTCATATGACCCGCTGGGTTACTTCTTGTGTACCTGCAAAAGAAACAAAGGGAAACTGAGCCTGGACTCAGCATAGATCTTGAGAATCACTTGCATATCCTGATCCTCCTCTCCCTGAACTGATGGTGGTGAGTTACCAGTTGTTGCTGGGCTTGATGGGTGAAGGCTGGCCTGGAGGAGGGGACTGAGGCTGGGGAAGGCCCCTTTACTTCCACTAGAAAGGGTTCCCATTTACCTTCCAAATTAAAATAGAGGATTCTGAGAGTTTGCATCCAGCCACTCATTGTGTTAAAGAGATAGTTGGTGCACATAAAAAACCACAGTGCATTTTTTTTTGAAATTCTATCTTCATCATGTACAAGTTAAACTTAAAGGAAAGCACTATAAACAAACGGTGAGCTCTGGTCAAACACTTCAGCATGGGTATCGTTAGGGGCGAAGTGAATTGATGTCTGTGACTTAATTTGGAAAGGCATCCAAAAAAATAGATTGATGGGGGAACAAAAGAATGGCAAATGCATAGATACAGGGTACAGCAAGAAAAGAGGTATTCAGTCTGGATGGTTGGAATATGGTTGTTCACAATTGCTTTGACTTTTCCATATACCTGTAATTTTTCCCAGTAAAATGTTGGAAAAATTCATACTACAGAGAGGTTCTTTCAAAGCACAGTGTGTAGACACCAGGTTATCAACCGTTTTTGAACCTGCTATGAGGTGGGAGAGGCTCACTGGATGAGGGTTCCTTGGATCTCTTTTTGTCTCGCTTGTCTTTTTCTTTTTTCTATACTAGAACATAGATATTAGTATTTGTAAAAGGCACATTTCATTACTATTCATTTAAAACTTAGGGAGAAGCTGGATGTGGTGGCATGCACCTATAGTTAGCCCTCAGGAGGCAGAGGCAGGAGGATTGCTGTGAGTTCAAAGCCAGCCTGGACTACATAGTGAGTTCAAGACCAGCCTTGAACTAACAGTGAGACCCTGTCTCAAAAACAAAACAAACAAACAGAATCTTAAGAGGCAATATATTGTATGCTATTGTTCTTGTAAAACACATTAACTAGAGAATTACAATTATGATTCTCAAGTATGAACATCTTATTTGATTTTATGTGACATGACAGGATTTGTTAACCAGTTAGTAAATGTTCAGTAGCAATTAACATATTGTCCATGAAAAATTTAAGTTTGGTTTATTATTTATTTATTTATTTGCTCCAAGATGGACATTAGTAATGAAGTGAAACCTAATATATATTAGTGTCCAGAAATTACCTCGACTATTAAGTGACAAACTGGACACATTCTATCTTAAAGCACAAATCATTTTGGTGACTTCTGTAAGCATGTTTGTTGGTATTTAGATTTTAAATCACTCCTTGTAAATGCAGCTGATGCTCTGGAGTGACTAGAAGTTAACGAGGGAGGGGATAATTATTTTACCTTTTTATGCTCACAAAAAAGCCTAAAATATAGTGCTAAGTGTTATTTTTCTAAAATTTGACCTAAGTTAACCACTGCTAATGTATCTTCACTGTGATTCTTTGCTTCCAAGTTGTCTATGCACTGTAAGTAACATGTACCCATGAATAGTGGCAAACTTGTCAATAATGGATTAAATATTATCTAATAAACTTATTTTGAAATGTTTAATGAACTAATTTTAAAATACTGTGATCATTTTGGACTCAATCACTTAAAGTTTGAAAAGAAACTTTGATTTCGAAGAAATGGTAGGGTTCAAGATCTTTAAGTTAGTAACTCTGGGATAAATTTTATCTTTTTGTGACAAAGCAAGTGACATTCAATATCATTAGGCACTAACACACGATAGTACATTCTTATTCATACTTTGAAGGAAAAACTAATATTCTGCCTCTTGCATCCTAAAAAACAAAACAAACTCATTTTCTAAGACTAAAAAAATATAACTACTTGAATCATATAAGGCTTTGCTATTTTTATCAAATTAAAAACCGGTTTCTAATGAGTATCCCTCTAATGAGTATTTGAGTATGACAAATGTCTGATGTCCAATTATTGTTAGATGGTTTTTAGGATACCTGTATTTCTTAAGAATCAGACACATAAATCAATCTGCTCAACCAAATTTTAAAACCTTTTGCTGAATATTAGAACTGTGCTTTAATAGAAAGAGAAACAACACTTTCGCACTGAGGTAGCATAGGCTTTTGAAAAATCCTTTGTTACTAACAGTCAAGCTTCTTTCTTACAAGACAAGAATAATGGGTTCAATATTAGAAATGTGAGCCAGCAAAAGGAAACAGTGTGTAACATAATGGATATCTGGTAAATTGCTTATGATTTTTAAACAAATTACTTATGAAGCAAAGCTGTTTCTCTTTGTCACTGAAAAGCATACAATCTTGAATGTACTCAATTAGATAAAGAAAACAAAAGCTATATTTAAATCACGCTGTAAAATACCACATTTTCATTTGCATGTAGAAAAACACAGAAATAAAAAAGTTGTGAGTTATCCTCAGGGTAGTGAGGATAACAATAAAAAGCAAAAAAAAAAAAAAAAAGGAGTAACATGCAAACATGTATCCAAAGAAAACAGACAATAAAGAACATATTCAATTATACAAATGAACAGGACCTTAACTTACCTCTTCGTGACAACGTACTCATGGGAACAGGACGCAAGAAGGGGTACAGTGACAGTAACTTAAAGGACATATCAGAGCTAAAAATTCTCAAGCAGAAACCCCAAGACATCAGGCAGAAATGTTCCAAAGCCACCTTCTTCCCAAATGGTTGCCACACCTCTGAACTCTACCTGAAATAATCGAACGTAAAAGAAATAACTGGCAAAGCCACCCATCACTGTCTTCATGAAATGAAAACGCAAGTTCCAGAAGTCACTGCGCCTCTGAAATGGTTACAGCCTGGTCTCCAGGGAGAATTTATGATCCATGCCACCCTCTCAAGATGGCACAGTTACCTCAAAATAAGCAGAACAGCCTGTCAGAAAAAAGTTCTCTTCGGCACAGACTTCTCCACAGTGAGCAGGCGTGAACAACCCAAGTCCCCCAGAGCTTCATTTAATCACTGACTCTCACACACTGGCTTTCAGGATGTGCTGTACCGGCTTATTACTGGCGCTACCACCTGAGCTGCTGTTCAGCTGGAAAGGTTTTTAACATACCACCCCAGGATTACAGCTCCCCCCCCAAAGGATTCTAACCTGTGAGCACACAGGAGTTTCAAAGTAGAAGCCAACATGCATACTTCATTTTGTCTGCATTTGAAAGCTGTCCTCCCGGGATGGAATCTTTTCTCCCTTCTGGTAAACACATGCTTGTATATATTAAAACCAAGAGTGTGTACAAATTAACGAGTCAATCCCCTCCCGTAGCAAAGAATAAACTTACGATGCATAACAGGCTCGCCGTTTTCCCAAGCAGGCATTTGGGATAGAGGTATTAGAAACAAAGCAAACAAACAAAAAAAAAAAACCATAAACCAAATGAAAGACATTGTGACCTAAAAGGATGTTCTTTGCTAGGTTTTTGGAGCTAAGGGGTGCGCATACTACCCCACTTTTTCCCCCCCACTTAAGACAAATCCATGAATGCCGGTCAGGGTGACACACAATGGGTGTTAAAACCACAGTCAGTCTTAGCAAATTAGGTAAATTGGAGATCATCTGATGCTGTCCTATTGCTATTGTAATCACAGTAATTTTCCCTGGTAATGGTGCTTCGTGATGAAGTGCAATTCTCTCTCATAGGATAATTGTGGAAGATATAGAAAGATTCAGGGATACGGCATCTGCTTTGAAAAGCTCTTCAGATTCAAATTGGCATTTTACTCTATCTTGAAAATTTATTAGAGATTCAGATCATGCCGGTTTAAATGGAAAGGTGAAAGCAGGGTACTTTCAATCTATGAATTATTCAGTCTCAGCCTGGCGAAATTGCCATCCATGAACTGACGCTCTGACAGTCCCTTCACAGAGCCTCCATTACGCTTGTCATTTTTATTTCTTTATCTACGATCTCTTTCTCAGTTACCGAGTTTGCCCCTTAGGGCTCGGCTTCGCAAATGGAGTATTTCAAATTGGCAATAACTTCAATGTGCTGTCTCAAATCTCTGTCTCCACAGGCTGTCTTTCTTTCCAAATCATTAAAAACCACATCCATGATGATATCTGTGAGGTTCTTCGATTAGATGAATTAAGACACACATACATACACATGCACACACATGCACACATACACAGGAGGGCATCACTGCGAAGAGTTATGTTCCGCTAACATCACAAGAGAAGATAAAGTGATGCTTTCTGCGTCCTTCTTTGTTGTCAGGGTGACCCATCCTGGCTGCATAGCATCACGCAGGAGGAAGCCAGTGCTAATGCAGGCTTGCCTGGCACCCTGATTTCCAGCCAGAGTTGATGAGGACTGCATGCAAGAAAGACTAATCCAGACTGTGTACTTAGCGAGCACGATTATTTAGGAAAATAAGAAGCAGCCATCAGATGACCAAAATTAAACTGTCATTCTCCCAGGCTCCACCTGCACCCAGACTGCAGTCGCAAGGATTCTCCACTCGATGGCTGGTTGTGTCACTGCTAGTCGACAGCTGTCCCGCATCCAGAGAGGACTGGGATTGATTTAGGTCAGTGAGTCTGGTTTCTCCTTTAAACCGTGTTCTAAACTGAGGAGTGGGGATCTGCGCCAGCCCCCGTGACCAGCCTTACGTGGGAGCTGGAGAGTCCCACAGCGTCAGTGCGGTAAGTCGCCCAGGCCCCAGCCAGACAAACCATGGCAAGCATCCTCTCCTCTGTCCTAGCCTTTACTCCTGCAGGTAGAGCAGCGTGGTGTCCGAAGCCCCCAAACTGCACACACGCATGGTGGGAGACCAGCCGTACCCCATCAGAGGCAGTTTGGTGACCAGGCTTGGAGCAGTACCTGCTCAGCTGAATATGCATGCTAGAAGCCACCGTAAACAGCCAGACTGCATCTCAGCTCCTGGCTAAATAAAGGTAAATATTCCTCACTTGAGAAATGTTAAGTAGTAGCAGAAAAAGAAAACTTTAGAACTCTGTTGCTTTGTGCCTATTTGTATGCCTCTGCTGTGCTGCATTGCGACTAGGAAGCGGCAGAAGCCGGGGCTGGCATTTGCAGCATTGCAGAAAAGCAGCAGCTATGACAAGGCAGTCAGCTGACTCGCAGGGTGTTATCATTCAATGTCCTCTGCAGAAACAGCCAGCGTCTAAGGGGCAATCAGGCAACGACCTTGACTGGAAAGGTGACTGCAGGAGGGGACCCTTGCTAGGTGCGCACCTGGCAGGAGCTTCTTGACACTGTTTTCCTCTCAGGCAGATTGATCCTGCAGCCTTCAGAACTTAACTGTTTCTGTTCTGCTTGCTAAGCCGGCAGGTCATTCTTGGGGCCAGCATTTCAGTGCAGAAACAGGTTAAAAACATCACTGCCCCTATCGTTTGGATTTGTTTCAGAGTCACAAAAATAATTGAGGGATAATTCTTGCCCATGTTTTGCTTTTAAAAGCACACCTTGAAAAAAAACTACAGGCATGTTGAAATTGCCTTCAGCTACTGGTGTGTTGTAATAATCTAGTAAATTGTACCTAACGAAATGGTAAGAGCAATTGGAAAAGCTAGAAGGTAAATTAGTCTGGCAGTGGCCTTAAATCACGGTCCGTTGCCAGAATGCAGGGTGCATGCTGCGGTGGAAGGCGATCCGTGCATCCCAATTAATCTGACAATGGAGCAGAAGCCGTGGATAGTATTATTGCAGTAGTTTGAGGAATTGCTAAAATAAGAAAGCAGTCATTACCAAGCATTTGTTTAATGACTGTAATCATACTGAATTAATTTAACTTGCTGCAATGTTTAACAGAAAGTCGATTATAAATTTGTGCTAAAAGAATAACTATACCAGTATTTGCATAGCACCTTTCTCTAAAGAACACCCTGTAAAGATAGCCTCCTTGTCTGGATATTCACAGAGTGCTCAGAATGTGCTAAGTACTCTATGGAATGATCCAGGGCTGGCTTCTCTAAGTGTCTAGAACCAGTGTGACATATATGTACTGCATGAAGAGTACACAGAAGATTATCACATCATATGTGTACCACTCCTTTTAAGGGGTTTGTAGTGATTTTATTTTTGCATGTCTCTTAGAAATTTGATTTTTGTTTGCTTTTCATTTGGTCCTCTTGACATAAATCTCACTTGAAAGAAGAATTTCCAGGTAGCACACAGAGGTCAAAACTAGATGAAGGAGCATTATGCATGTATTCATAGAATTACAGATGGGTTTAAGTGACATTTACGTGAGGGATGGATGCCACGTCAAGGGCAAGCTGCACGAGTGCTGGGAAGCTGTACTTGGAGAGAGTGGGAGGTAGACGTCTCTTCCCGAGCCCTTCCCAGCTCTCACTGATAGATTCTAGGAGGCTCAGGAACCTGCCTTGCTGACTCCTTTCAAAACTTAGCAGGAAATGAGCCCTGGCTGATAATCCAGGAAGCTTTAGTGTAACTCCTTGGGGACATTTATATTGGGGAAGAAAATTAAGCTTCGGGGAAAAGGTGTAGCTATCTAACTGGAATTTCAAGCACCAAGTCTCCAGGTAGGAAACCATTTCTGAAGGTGGAGGAGTTCCACTGGGCTTCTGCTCCATCGTATGCAGCTCCCATTCCTGGGTGCCGGCCTCCCAGTGCTGGCCAGAAGTCTAGTGTCCATGTGCACCATGCATGTTGGTGGCCAGTTGGTCCGGGGGATGGCAGATACCCTGACCTCTCTCCCACCTTGGGGGAATCCCAGCTTTGCTTTATGATTTTTGGAGCTCCTCGCTTACCAACAAATGGCCCACGCACTGTTATTTTTAAAAAGTTCTCAAATGATAAATTCTGTCACCTACTCAGCATTGAGAACTACGGATTACGTATGTGAATTTTTGGGAAATCCAAGCACACTAAATATGTCATAGTTGAAGACAAGGATGTAGAAATGAAAGTGTGGCCTTAAATTTACCTACTTCTATCTTTTTTTTTTTTTTTTTTTTGGTACCGGGAATCAAACTCACAACCTCACACTTGGCAGGCAGGCAGGTGCTGTGCCACTCAGCTACATCCCCAGCCCTACCTACTTTTATCTTTACTGTTAAAATTCTGTGCAAATCAATCAAAAGGATAATTTTTTGGAGAAAATCTATAGCTATAATATACCCACAAGTCTTGTCGATGAAGGCACATGTGCCATTCCTTTCCACAGCTCCTTGTACCTTTCTCTCATACAGCAAAGAATGACCACTTAATGTCCTCTGTGAGGGCAAATGCACAGGGACATGATCCCCCCCCCCATATACTGGAGATTGAATCCAAGACCTTTGCTGGGTTTTTTTGAGGCAGGGTCTTGCTAAGTGCTCAGACTGAGATAGAAGTTGCAATCTTCCTGCCTCAGCCTCCTAGAGTGATGGAATTATACACACGTACCTCTACACTTGGCTAATACATTCATCTTGATGTTTCATATCCTTCACTCTGCTAGTAGCCCCTCCTAATTCATGACAGGAATGAGGGACTGTTAATTGCTCCTCCTCTTTCTTATGAAAGACAGCTCTGAGACCTCCATGATTCCAACATAAGAACATGAAGCTTTTCTTTCATTGCAGGTTGTCCTGAAATCACATGCTCCCAAGGACTGAGGAATGCTAATTCTCAACTGCAAATATTGATCAACAGACTATATAGCAAAGAATAAGCAAAAAAAAAAAAGGGGGGGTGGGAAAATGGACAAAACTCTTGATCAAAGAAAGTCAATCGAAATCCTATATGGTTAATATATTTCAGTTAATTTGTTCAGAAGATTAAGGTACATCTTTTATTTTTCTTTTGCATTTTGGAAAGAGAATCCAGTAATAATGTGGCTTTTAATGCCTGTTTGAATCTTAAATGTCTCCCAGTTTTTTTTGTTTTGTTTTTTTTTTTTTTTTCTGTGTTAGGAATCAAACTCAGGACCTCGTGCCCACCAGGGAGGCACGTATGCCACTAAGCTATATCCCTGGCCTTGTCTTCCAATTCTTGTTTACAGGGGAGGTCCACACCCACCCTGATGGCACCATTGGATTGGGATAGGGTGAAACATTTAGGGAGTGGCCCTAGTAGCAGAGAGTGACATCACTGGGGGCATGTCCTTGTAGGGAATACTGGGAATTAGGTCCCTTTCTCTCATCCTTGCTTCCTAGCTGCTATGATGGGAGTAGCTTGTTCTACCATGTGTGCTGCCCGGGCATAGGCTCAAAGTGACAGAGGCAGGTGACCATGAACTGATACTTCTAAAACCGTAAGCCAACATAAATCTTTCCTCCTTTCAGGTTATTAATCTTGGGTATTTGTCACAGCTATGGAACACCAACACAGTGCCAGTGCTAGAAACCTCTGTTTAGTTCAGATCAGGGGAAACTTTTTCTTCCCAGCCCTCTGAACTCTGCAATCTGATTTTTTTTTAAGCCCGCATACCCTGTGGCAGTCTTGTATAATCTGTAGCTCACTTCTCAAGAATATTTTTCTATGTAGATGTGGTGAAAAAAATGGGAAATTAATCATATTAAATGTCTTACTTAAGAACCTTCACCTTAGAAAAAGCAAAAATACTTCCAAGATGAAATTGCAAAGTGAGTTTGGTTGTGTCTGCCGAGGATTACCTGGTAAAGAAGCAAGTTCAAGGAGAAGCTAGATAAGATAAGGGGGTAGGGAGGGGAACAGAAAAAATTTATTGAATCTGATTTCTTAAAGTGGCCCTGGTGGGGACCAGCAGATTCCCCTATTCATGTTTTTTAAAAACACTGTATTTTCCACACTGATTAATTCACGTGGTGTAGATACTTCTGACGGTCCTTGAAGGCAGGCAAATGAAGGGAATTGAATCTTTCAGCTTATACAGGTTTGGGAGGAATTGAAACTCAAACAAATTTGAATTTTGTTGCAGTATTTTCTAAGTGGCCAGGAAGTCTAGCACCCAAGTCTTCTAAACCCCAATCAGGTACATATTTATAGTCACTGATGTGCTGGAGCCAGCTGATGATATTAATATTCTCTAATATTCAGGAATTTTACTCAGTACTAAACCATTAGCAGCTTGAAGTCAACCATACAGAAGAATTTACACCACAGACACTGGCAAACTTTCCAGGTGTAGTGGCACACTGCTATAATCCTAGCACTTGGGAGGCGGAGGCAGGAGGATTGTTAGAAGTTCGAGACCAGCCTGGGCTACAAAGTGAACTGAAGACCAGCCTGAATTGCACAGTGAGGCCCTGTCTCAAAAAAAAAAAAAAAAAAAAAAAAGAAAGAAAGAAAGAAAAGAAAAGAAAAAAAGAGAAAAAGAAATTGGCAAACTGTAAATCAGGGGTGTTGCTTTTCTCAAAACAGCAGCTTTACATGTTGTAATATAGTTAATTATGTCAATTTGCCTCGTGTACTAATTCGCCTTTATTTGGATCCTATTATCCAAAATGCTGAAATGGGTTAGTGTGAAGCTCTAAGGTCAAAAGGCCTGTTTTTGGTTCCTGCCTATGCCACTGATTATGTGTGTGATTTGAGGCAAGGTAATTTACCTCTCTGGTATTCAACTTCCTCTATGTCAGACAGGACTAAAACACTGGTGCCATTTAGTTTATTACACGTGTGACAGGAATTGGTGCATGTAAACTACTTAGCTTGGATCCTCACAAATATGAGATCCCACTGGCTGTGTTAGGCATGATTACTTTCCTCTTTCTCTTCTTCTTAATCCTCCTCCTTTTTCTTATTCATCTGTTCAGAAGGGCAGATTGACATTATTTGTGCTGACATTAAGGGAAAACATTGTTGGGAGAGTATAAGCAACAACAACACAAAAGGAAATAAAACACCATATACAAACTACTTGAATTCTAGATCATAAAAATGTGGTTCCTAACTTTTCTGTGTTATAGAGATTTGATATGTTGTTGTTATTTTTTGTATAAATTCTGTATAAATTTTTTGTATAAATAAGAGAACAACAATTCAAGATGGTAATTATTTGATGGATATAATTTCAGCATGATTTTAGAGAAACCAGATTTTTTTTTTTGGTACTGGGGATCAAACTCATGACCTCACTCTGGGCCAGGCAGACGCTTACACCACTGAGCTAAATCCCCAGCCCCTTAATCCCCAGCCCCAACCAGATTAAAACTATATATTGTCAGATTTCCATTCTGCATTTCAAATCAGGCAACTTTGGGCCAAAGATATTAGGGACAAAATTACTTCTACACTGAGCACATACAGACTTTTTTCACATCATTACTCTATAAATAATACATATTTCAACTATTTACATGGAATTTACATTTTATTAGGCATTATAAGTATTGTAAGCATGACTTAAAAGCTAGAGAGTATATACTTCAGTTATATGCAAACACATTGTCCATACCCCAAAATGCCATCAAGTGTAACAGTAGAAGCTCTTTGTGACCAAGAGATATCAGCTTCCAAACTCCTGCAGAAAATAATTGTTTGAAATCAAATGCCAATTCTGTGTAATCACAGAACTTCAAAAACAATAAAAACATTGGCCATTTACCAAGTGATATCAATATAGTCTAAATTTTCTCCAATCATAAATGGAATAATATTGTCTTAATTACTTTTCTCTCATTGCTGAGACAAAATACCCAACAATCAAAATTAAGGAAGGAAAGGTTCATTTAGCTCACAGTTTGTGGAGGTTTCAGTCCATAATAAGCTGGCTCCATGACAGGGTAGCATGGCACATGGACAATACTTCAAGGAGGCAGAAAATAACAAAAGCAGCGAGAGCAAAAAGGGGGAAGAACAAGCCTCTTCTCCTCTTTTATATTGTAATCAGGCTACAACACATCCCAAAGACAGGTATAGCACTCACATCCTTTCTGTGCCCTCTTCTTGCACAGGCTGAGGATGTTTACAAAGTGATGACCCTGGCTCCCTGAGTCACATAGTTAAATGTCTAAACTTTTCAAGTTGACATAATGTATCATTGATAACAACCTACCCTTGTCAACTTGGCAACCAGACATATTTCTTTAAACTAGTTTCCAGATACAAAGATATGCATATTCTTAACATTTCAGAACTTGAACATTATAACATATATTTAACAATCCTTAAGAACCAATGCTAAGTCTATCAACATTATATTACATTAGAACCATAACATTTCACTCCTGGCCCCCCTCCCAAAGACTCATGCACATCCCTTTATGCACTTAGTCCATCTGGAAGACTTCTACGTGCAAAAGGCACTTAGTCCATCTGGAAGAGTTGTCAAAGTCCTAATAGTTTTAGCATTGCTAAAAGGTCTAAGTTCCAAGTCTCCTCTGAGCTGTAAGGCAAACTCTTAGCTGCAAGCCCTTGTACAAATGAAAAGTTAAACACTTCAGCATTCAATGGCACAAGATAAACATTTTCATTACAAACATTACAAACACAGGAATTCAAAGGATTTGGAACAAAACAAATCCAAAATCCAGCAGGGAAAAGTTAAGTCCTATAGTTCCATGTGCAGCATCTAAAGCAATTTATGAGCTCCAAAGAACTTGCATGGCTCCCTGTCTATAGCACTTCTGGTGGTTATAGCTCCCACAGCTTCTCTCTTAGGCCAGCTTTGCTCCCTCCTTGCAGCTTTCTTAGATGACCCACAGTCCTGGCTTTTCCAAACTTCTGGAATCTTAAATGCACCTTCAGTTTCACACTCACAGCTTTACCCACTGCCATCTCAGGGGCACGTTGCCTGGCCTCTCAGATCTTCTGAAATTGAGTAGAAGCATTTTTAACATCATAACGTTTGCATTCTACATGTACCTAAAACCAGCACCACGTGGATGATGTCATAATTTGCTACTGGCTGGAGCAGTAGCCAGGCTTCCTTCTCTCTTGGCTTTAGGGGTTGAGTGCCTGGATTGCTGGGCACTCTGAATCTAATTCTGAGTAACAAATTCTCTGTGCTGCCACCATTCTGGAACATGGTGCTCTGTGGTTTTCTCTTTAAAGCAAAGTCTTTCACTTTTGCAGTTTTGAGCCTGCAACGGGTGGAGTCTTGCTGCTTCTTGTGATGCTCTCAGGCCATTTTTTTATTCTTCTAATCCTCATCTGCAGTTGGGATCTCCTCAGCTCTATCTTTGTAATCCACAGCTTTCCTGGAGTTTCCTTTCTGGCCAAACTCACAATCTTTTAAATCATCTTTTTGGGCTCTCTGCTCTTGATTTTCAACATAAATCTGGCCAAAAATCCCCAACTGTAGCCAGGTCACCACCTCAACATTCAACTGCCTTGAAATTTCTCCTGTCAGATTAATTAGTCCACTGCCCTTAATCTTAGTCTCAAGAAGTTTCTGAACATGAGCAAAATGCAGACAACCTTCTGCCAACCATAACATACATCATCTGGAGACCAGCACCCAATGCAGTCCTTTCCAGTAGAAACCTCCCAAGCCTGGTCTTTACTTGGCAGGATTTCTATCAGCCTTCTGTTCTTCTGAGCTCTGACCAGAATCTCCTATACAGAACAGCCTAAGGCTTGCCAGCACTACTCTTTCAGGAAACGTTTCAGAACCTTTCTAAACTCTTCTCACAAGCTATTCCCAAAGGTTCTTATACCACATGGTCTGGTACAGTCATAGCAACAGCCCCACTCCACTAGTACCAAATTCTGTCTTGGTTACTTTTCTCTCATTGCTGAGACAGAATACCTAACACCCAAAATTAAGGAAGGAAAAGTTTGTTTAGCTCACAGTTTGTGGGGATTTCAGTCCCTAATAAGCTGGTTCCAAGGCAGGTGGCATGGCATAGGGACAATACTTTGAGGAGGCAAAAAACAAAAAAGGGGGAAAAAAAAACCCGAGCCTCTTCTCCTCCCTTATATTGTAAGCAGGCTACCATCCCCCACCCCAAGGCAGGTATAGCACTTAGACCACCTCTATGCTGTCCTCTTCACAGGCTGAGGATGTTTACAAAGTGAGGACCCTGGATCCTTGCTGAGTCTCTTAAACTTCTAAACTTCTCAAATTGACACCATGTATCAACCGTTATAAATACATATACAGGAATTTCTTTTTTTTCTTGTCTTAAATAATTGATGTATGTTTGACAAATAAAAAGTGTGTACATTTGAGTTGTACAGAATGCTTTGATATACATTATGAAACAATGATTATAGCCAACCATCATCTCCTATTGCTACCATTCATAGGGTTTTCTGTAACCAGAATTCCAAGTGCTTTGCATATAACAACTAATTTGATTCCTGCAGTAATTCTACTTGGAAGGCATGTTTTTTTTATTATTCCCATAAGAACTCCATTAGTTAGGCACTATTATACCCCTTTCACAAAAAGAACAAAAACGTAAAGAAGTGGACATTTCCTAAATCACACATTTGGTGACTTAGGTAAATAGATTCAAACTCAGATTTGCCTTCTCTGGATTCACATCCAGATCTTGTTCCCTTCACCTTTAATATTCAAATATGGTCACCCTAAATGGGTTGGAAGAACCTAGAGAAGGGGGCTGGAGGTTTAGCTCAGTGGCATAAGCGCCTGCCTTGTAAGCAGGCAGTCATGAGTTCGATCCCCGGTACAAAAAAAAAAAAAAAATAGTTATTGGGAAAGTGTGTGCATTCATTATTTTGCTTCTGTAATGATATTTGACTTCAGTGATGTGCCAGTAATGTGGATATCTGGGCTGGGGCAGAGCCTGGCTTGTAGCATTTGCCCATGTCCGTAGTGTAAATATTCTACTATGGCAAATTTCAAGATTCCAACCATCTGATAAATTGCTGCACATGAAATAATTATCTCTTGTAAAGTTAGATTCAGCAAACCATGGTTTGGACCAAAGTAACAGATAATTCTGTACTTTCTGGAAATCATATTGTTTTCTACCAAAAGGAGGGATCAGAAATATGGCAAATGGTTAGATTTAAAATTTTATTATAACTACATGTTCAGTAAAAGACACATTGACATTAGCCCCCCTCAAAATACTTCCCTTTACTTCAAATACACATACCCCTCCTTCTTGCTGTTTTCTGAACTGTATATGGTGACCCTATTTCATGAGTGCCTTTCTGAGGTCTGATAAATGCGATGAATCCTGCTGTGGCGTGCCATCCAAAGGAAACACAGGCTTGTAAAACTGTCATGGTGTGTTCTCATCTACCTTTTCACCAGTTCTGGCAACATGAGACTTCTGGCTCTTCCTCAAACTCAAAATGACCATGAAAAGCAAATTGATTCAGGACATCAAAGCAACCACAACAGTGCAACTAAAGACACAGAAGAGGCCTTTCAGAACTGCTTCTGATGATGGGATGAATGTGTTCAAAGGGAAAGAGCATTATGAGGGGTCTGAATATCAATGGGTCCTTTACTGTAATAATTGTTTTTATTTAAACACATACAATATTTTTCAATCACATCATGTACATAGATAGTTGGCCCTCGTGAGTAGATGTGAGTTTCAAAGCCACAGATTCAATTAACTGCAGATCAAAAATATTTTTAAAATGTTATCTGTACTAACCATGTACAGACTTTTTTTCCACAATTCATTGCAAGCAATCTAACAACTCCTTAAATAGTATATTCATCTAGATGTGACAGGGGTGTCCATTCTGTGGCCCACCATTTTTTTGTAATTTTTTCCTGAGTAAAAAGAAATAGTCTTGAGCTGCATATAAAACAGATAATTACATATACAAGTAGCAAAACTTTCTTTTTAAAATTTTTACTATAGTGTTAAAAAAAAATAGTACAAAAAAACCTGTAAGCCACGGGTTGGACATGCCTGAGATACTGCAGGTTATATGCAAATATTTTATTATGTCATTTATATAAAGAATTGGACCCGTGTAAGGATTCCTGGATCCAGCCCCCTATGAATACCAAGGAACAATGACACATTCAAGGCAGGCTTTGTATTAGGGTCCTCCCAAGTTTAAAGGCCTTCAGTAGTCCCTGTATCTTTTTCTGTAGTGACTCCCAAACTTTATACTTCTACTTTTTGTATGTAGTGACAATGATTTTACATTTGCTGTTGTGATTTTAGAAGACAGTTGACACATCTATATATCCCTTGACCATCTAAGAAATCTAACAATTATGGGTTGCTTTTTAAGTGAAATGGCCCTGGGTTGACTGAGTAGGAGGTTTCGTCAGCCTGGAACTTACATGTTTATATGTGCACATGCACGCACATATACACACTCATTATCAGTTGCAAACCCTGTATAAGCCAAAAGCATGTACAAACACCTGATGCTTATCCACTGAGGTACGTACCTGGTCCTAAGGACTTTCCCGTATTGTAGCTCTATGTACAATATTTTGAGACCCCAACTGTAATGAAAGGCAACCTATAGTACATGGTCACCATGAGGTCACAATATAAATTCAAATTTAGCAAATTAAATGGCAATTACTCTTTGAGAAACTATGTAACTCTAAGGACAATCACCATGTTCTATGTTATTTATTTATTTACTTATTTTTGGTACCTGGGTTCAAATTCACCAGGCACTTGTGCCACTGAGCTAAATCCCCGGCCCTCTATGTAATTTTTTTTTTAGACATTTGGGAGGTGCTAATTTGTGAAGCACATATAACCAAATGAGTAATTACACAGCAAGGGGGCTGAAAAGTAATTGCAAAATAATTGCATGCTATTTGATCCATCCATGAAAACGTGTTCAATAGACTAGTCCCCTAAATGATTTCTTTTACCTATGGAACACGTTCAAGCTATTCTTTTTCCTTAGATCTGTTTAACACTAAGTCAAACCTGATTTGATAAAATATACTAAAGTGTAGGCTGTGGTGTAGGTTAAAGAATTAGCCAAGCAGCTTGTTTTTCTCTACATTCTGTAAATGTGATTAACTTTTAAAAGTTGATCATTACATGCATTGTCTTTGGAAAAATACACAGTAGTGTAGGATTTTTTTGTTCGTTTAATGTAGGGCTCTTTGTAACATCTGCTTGTGTTCTCCTGGTTCTCTCTCTCTCTCTCTCTCTCTCTGTCTCTCTCACCTCCTTCCTTCCCCCACTTTTTACAGTCCCCCATCCTCCCTTTCTTTCTCTTTCCTTCTCCCTATCCCTCCTTTTTCTCTCTTTCCTGCTTACTTCATTTCAAGAATAGAAACTAATGGAGAGCCAGAGATAAAACTAAGTAAGTGTATGTATGTGTGCAGTGCTGGAGAGAGACCCTTGAGCCAGGCAACAGCACACATTGGACAAATCACTTCCCATCCCTATGGCAGGCTTATAAATTTCAAACTAGGACTGACTTTTGCAAGTAAAACGCACAAATGCATAATTCATGTGAATGCACTTTTAAAAGTATCAAAGTGCTACTTTAAAATACAAGCACTAATATAATAGTGGCTACTCCTTAATATTTCAAGAAAGGATTCCTTTAAAGTGATCTACGTGTACCACTGTCTCACACCTTCCATCCTCACAACCACGGGACCCTCCCTCTCTCTGCTTTCATCCTCTCTGCAACAATTTCTTATTCTAATCCTGCTTAGCCAACGGTCAAGTGCCAAAAACTGCAAAAAGATAAGTATCTGGTAGAAAAATCGTTATTTTCCTCTTAACAAGATATTGAGTTAATCTCTGTTTCACTTCCATCTTTAGGGTTATCATTGAAGGATATAGCATAATCACGGCATACAGAATTGGCCTAAGGATTAAAACCAGCAAGAACTAGACCTTTCCAACACCCCCTGTGCTTTTGCTATACCTTGGATGGTGACGATACGAAGCATAATTATATCTGCAAGTGATACTCGAGGTTTTCCAGCTGTTTGTGAAGTTATCTACTGTGCTTCCAAAGTGTTTTGCCAGGGTGACTCCAAGTGTGGTCACCCTGGTCACCCAGGACATGGTGTGACCGTGGAGAATGACGGTCCTAGTGCAGACACAGGCTGACACTGCATTTCCTTCACTTGGATCTTTCCTGTCACTGAAGTTTATGCCTTTGATAATTCAAAATGGAACCAGCCACTTTTCATTCACTTTATCACTCAACACACCAGTGTTTCCATGATAAGTTAAGTATTGTTACAACCTCAAAAATGATTGCCTGACTATAAAACAGCAGAAGTAGTCAGCCTCCTTGTGTTAAGAATACTATAATGAGAAAACCAGGAGAGAGCCAATAAAACCATGCAGAGTTTGGGTTCACAGGCTGATAGTAAATTAAAAGTTATATCGATTTAGTAGAAGAACACATTTGTGAAGACTAGACTTCTTAACAGATTTATGAATGCCTTCCAGATGCACATCAGATAAATGAGCAGCCCTTAAGATACAAGCATTCAGTTTTGTAAACTTCTTTGACTTGTAAATATAGATGCTACTGAAGAGGGACTTGTAAATACAAATACATTTAAAACTTAAGTTTTAATTAAGTAGGGTATGGATAGCAGGTAAAAAGGTGAAGGCAATTTATGTTAAATATTCTTTTAAGAAGGGCGATTAACAAGTTCTCATTAGAAATGGTTTTTAAAGCCCACATTTCCATGAGTGAGGCCTTCTGGTGTTATTTATTTAAGATGGAAACTTTCTGAATACTTTAAGTGGCCAAAGAATTCAGTTAGAAGTTGGAGATGTGGGAGATAGGAGGGCCACCTGATGGAATCTCAGACAAGACAGGAAAAGAGGCCAACAGCAAAGTGAGAAGTTGGCCTTGAGCCTCCTGTGCCCTCTGAGACAGAGGCAACAGTGGTACAGATGCAGGAGGGTGCTCATAGCTCCTGTCTGTCTGCAATGTTGCAAGCATACATTCATATGGAAAAGGCAGAGACTGCCATATTTCTAGGCATAGATACTCTGATACTTTTGTGTAGTCCAAGATTTAATAAGCTTTTTTAGTCAAAGATCACTTTTCCTTGGGAAATACTATAGCACAGGGGTGAATAAGGTTCAGACCTCAGCCTACCCACTTATTATCTGTAGATCTTTGGTCAAATTATTTAGAATATGTAGTTTGATCAGAAATAAAGTGAGGATAATAATAATGCATTCACCTCAGATGATTGCTCAGAGAATGACATGAGATAGCTAACGGTACATATTCAAGGAAATGTAAGTATCATTTCAAATGCTCATATTAGGCTTGTTGTAAATTAAGATTAATGAATGTTCTCATGGGTGTTATTCAGAGACATCTTCCTTATTCTACAATATAGATTTATCCTGAGAGATAAGACTGTAATTTAACTTCCTTGAGTTCTACTGTTTAGATTTATTATTCTATTCTCCTGAGGTCTTTGTGAGTTCTGAATTTATCATACAATGTATTTATTGTCCACTCCAACATATACTACCTGCAAGTCTCAAGAGTCCTGAGACAGCCCCAGCTAGTTGCATTCCTGACATCCATTTTTACCTTCTTTCTTAATGACAAAGCCTTACTTTGGTTCTAGTATAACAATAGACTCAGCTAAAGTGCTCTATCTCCCAGCAACACTTGCAGCTAGGAGTAGTCACGTGATACAGTTCTAGCCAATGTAGTAAAAGCAGAAGTTGCTGGCTATGCTTGCAGGCAAGTCTATTAAAGAGGCCAGACCTGTGAGATTGAAAACCAGATTCTAAGGATGCTAGAGAAGAAGGGAAAGTAGCATGATACATAATGCCTGTGGCAGTCCCTTTTCTGTGTGCCTCTACGATCCTTGTCATAAAGTTTAAAACAATTGTTTAATGTCAGCTCTGTCACCAGAGTTCTAGTACCTTCACCCAGTACAATTCCCCCTACTTGCTTTAGATACCATCTTTAGTAGCCTCAAAATATTTGGAGGCAGAAAAAAGAAACTTAAACAGAACAAAGATAACAATAAAACACCCTGGTATGTGATTATAACCATTCTCCAGATAATTGTTTTTGCATTAATATCTTACTTTATAAAAATAGACATGTCAAAAGGCAGTTTTAATCTGTGTCAGCCTTCCCTTGATCATTAGATCATATGGATTGACACACAGCCTTCCCTTATTCTGGATGGATGCCTCCAAGATAAATTTGTAAAACTAAAAGTACTCTTGCAAAAATCCTCTTTTACAGATAAGGAAACTGGGGCTCGGGTGCTTCATTGCATCTCAGGCAGCTATTTATAGAGCTGAGTCATCCTTATATTGTATTCTACTGCCCCACACTGAATAAGTCAGACAAGCCTTCCTTTTGTATTACATTTTCTCTTCAAGATCTCATTTTCTTTATCCCAAATTGTATCATTAACCTTTTGAGTAACCTTGGGCATTCGTGAAAGATTAAAGAAAATTTTTTTGCTCTTGTACTTTGCTCTGGTACTTTAGCTCTGAGTACATAAGTACCCTGCTCAGAGTCCCAGAAAAACAGAGGGAGTAGCAAAAGAACACTAACATGCTTTTGCAACTGTAGTAGCCACAGTGCCAAAAAGGAAACAGGCTGATAAAGGATCTAGATTCCCCCTTTGATCCAATCTCCAAACGGGTCAATTACCCTGACTCCCATTGTGGCGTTCTTGGTATGAATCTCAGTGTGAAAGACCCCGTCCTCTTTGGAAGTGAGAAACATTTGTAAACGTTTCTTACCACCCTGATGTAGGACATATTGGCATAAACATTTCCTTGATACTGAAAAACTGTCTCCAACTGCTGCAGCTGCTCCGTCCAGGACAGACACAGGGAGAGATTAGATATGGCATTTGCACCTGGCCAGTCATAAACTGCTCCTTGGTAGCATGCAAAGGTTAACAGGCCCAATTCCCTTTTCTCCTTAGACCCAGAATGTTGAAACATGAAAGAGAGCTGTAATTATTTATAAACAATAAAAGCTTCTGTGGCGTGTATCAAGTGAATGGATTTATTTGCCTACTCAAAGTGGAAGTAGATGTTTTCCTGGTTGTTGACAACTCTGGAGTTGTGATTAGGAGACATCGTATCTGCGAGGTTGGTGTAAATTTTGCTTCTGCCACAGTGAGGGGCACTCAGGTTGGAGTGTGGGTTGGCCTGCTTCTGAGTCACCTGAACCTTTGCAAACCAGGACCCGCTCTCTTTGAGACTTTGCCTTGGTACTTTCCAGGATATCTGCTTCTAGCTGGCCTCTTCTGTCCATGCTTCTGTCCCCGCCCTCCAGCAATCCTGAGGTGGGAGAGGTGTCTCTCGGCTTGAGAAATGAGGCGGCATTTGGCAAATTTCATTGAGTCCTCCTTAATCATGATTCAGTGGATTGTGGCTGGCTGAAACCACCATTAAAGTGAGTTTATAGAAATTTACAAGCAGCTGTCATCTGCTTAGCTACCCGGTGGTAATCTAAGAGAAAAAAAAAATGCAGACTCCATCTTAGCAGATCATGTGAATGAACTCTTGTTCTTCCCCTCATAAGCCCCTAGTGCTCTACCATTTTTTTTTTCTGGTACTAAGGACAGAACACAGGACTTGATGCACGCTAGTCAAGCTCTCTACTTCTGAGCTCCACAGGTTTGTTACCTGTAAGTTATATGAGCTTGATTGATTGTTAGAAGTGAGTAACTTCAAGCCAGGTGCATGCCTATAATCCTAGCACTCAGGAGGCTGAAGCAGGAGGATCGTAGCTAGCTCAAGGCCAGCTTGGGCTACAAAGTGGGTTCAAGGCCGGCCTGAACCATATAGTGAACTCTGTCTCAAAAAAAAAAACAAATAAAAAAAAAGAATTGAGTAATTTCTTAAGCCATGTGGAATTCAAAGGCACACAAGGAACTTTAGTTGAAATGGAAACTTAGAAACTTACTGTATTAGTGACACTTTCAAAATTCTCAAATATGAAGACCTAGTTTTTTATACAATAACAATAGTTTTATTTCAGTTTTTGTTGGTTTGGAACACCAACCAACAAGCAGTGTGTTTTCTATTTATTAATCATTTGATAGCTACCTGCACATGAAAAATAGTAACACATCTAAGATTTTATTTTGTCCTTGATAATACTTAATGTTAATATAGATTCCTCCTTTGTGTAACTCTAAAGGTTTTCAGGAGTTCAAAGCCCAAATTATAAATATCATTATATATTTGAAAGAGGCGATGACTCGTAGAAATGACTTAAAGGAAGGGTTATTAAAATCATTTTATAAAAATTTTCAGAATAAGATTCTTTGGTACACCATGTCCCACAGAACAAAAGAAGAGAAATAGAGAGACAGTACTTTTTTTTAATTTCCAGTAACATTTTTAGCTGTTATGCTTCTGCTATCTAGCCAACCTATAGCTAATGTATTTTTTAAAGAACCAGTGTAATTGGATAAAATTCCTAATCAGCTCAGATATTTTTTATCTTCTTGTAATGTGTAACCCTGAGCCAGTATAATCACTGCATTAGCAACAACGAACTACTCTTTAAAATCCCTATTTAGTACAAACTACATTAAGAAAAATACAGTGTATGATGAGCAATCTGATTTAATTTTTATGCAAGATTAACATATTAAGCTATTATCTCTAATTTTAAAATCAGGTTCTATTTAGGCCTGTAAAATAATATTCAAGTAATTGGATATGGATTAGAAGTTGTTTCTAGCTTCACTTTCCCTTTTGATTTAGGCAAGCAATAGTTCCTAGATGATTCTCCAATTCACATCCTAAAATGTAAAACAGAATTCCAGAGGAAATTATACTCTATTCCTCTCCAAAAAGTTGTGAGAAAGGGCACCCTATGTCATTTTCCAATAATTCTCAACTGTTTATATTTTCCTCTTGGAATCTGTTTTTCCCAGTGATATTATATCGGTTTACAATATAAAGACTTGATTTTTTTCGAGGGTGAAAACAAATGAGAGGATCGGCCTCCCACCTAAACCAAACTATCTCCTGGATAACCTTATCCATATAATAAACACCCGAACAATCAAAGATAAACGTCATGTGGGCAAGTCCAAGGCTATGCATCTCAAATACTCCAAGAAGTCCCCTGGTGCCTAGTAACAGTAACAATATATGGTGCCAGGGCAGGAAAGATACACATTTCCATCGGAGTTTATTCAAGTTAAATAGTAACCCCACCATGCAGGCAGAGGACCTGATAACCTCTCCTTGTCAGGCTGCCCAGAGAGATCTGTGAAAGCCAAAGGCCAGACTACTGACATGAATTCCACTGCCCTGACAATATGCAGCTGACCTGCCAGCATCTGAAGTCTAACTACATATGCAGATCTTCTACAAGGCTGAAAATCAAGGCTGCACTCTCTAATCCTGTTTTAGCATGATGCTGCAGGTGCTGCATTCATCACTTAATATAGTACCTCCTTTCTTCACCACGAGGGCTCCAACTCCCTGTCCTTGGAGCACACCTCTGGGCCCATCCTTCTTGGATTTGCATCCAGGTGCAAGTCCAGAGAGTGGTGGGAATCCTTCATCCACATGCAAATCATTTTTGCAAGATCAATTTTTTTCTTTTTTCTTTTTTCTTTCCAAAGCATTGTACAGACCAGTCTCTAGGAAAATTTGCATTTTGTCTGGTAAGATAGGCACAGCCATGAGTTAGAGCTGAAGGGACAAAGAGATCATTACAAAATCAAATTAACACACAAATGAGATACAAATGTACTCTATTAACTGTCTACATTTTTTGAAATAGGAACCAACTGGAATTTTGAAATGTATCCAACAGAAAAGGAGTTAAAAAAGAATTTTAATGGATTACAATACAAGTTGAGATGCAGTCTGAATAGAGTCTCCATTACTGTAACTGGGTGGAAAACTGGCTTGATTGTGTTCCTTTCAGACGATCTGGGAGACAAAACAGCTGCACTTCAAAATAAGAGCTCTATAGAGCTTATTAAAAAGATATTCAGGCTAAAGTTGGAAGAGTGTAAAAAACCTCCAAGAAAATATTTTAGGTGATTTTTTTTTTTCATTTTAAAAAAGACAATATCTTCTAGGTTGTAAAAAAATGAAGTAAGCAAAACTTTTCCAATTTTATTTTCCAATATCTTTCTTTAAAGGTTTTATGTTACTTTGTTCTTTGTGTCACTATATTAGTCAGCTTTGTGTTGTTGTGACAAAATACCAAAGAAAGTCAACCTAGAGGAGGAAAGGTAAACCATGTCTGAAGCGCTTGCAGGGATAAGGTCTAAGGACTGTCTCTGGTTCCTGAGCCGTTCCACCCTGACGCGGTTTCCCTGTCTGCTTCCTGGCCACCATGAACTTAGCAGCTTTGCTCTGCCTCTTCCCTCTGCCATGAGCCCGGCAACCATGGACTGCATCTCCTGAAACCAGGAGTCAAAAAAAAATCCCTTCTTCTTTAGACTGTGGGCATCAGGTGTCAGTTAAAAGCTGACTAATAGGGGGCTGGGGATTTAGCTCAGCGGCATAAGCACCTGCCTTGCAAGCAGGCAGTCATGAGTTCGATCCCTGGTACCGATAAAAAGGAAAAAGACAAAAAAAAAAAAAAAAAAGCTGACTAATATAGCCATCAAATTATGATCTCATCAGTGTGTTATCCACCTGATAACATCATGAGCCAGTCATTTCGCAAAACCCATCAGCAATCAACACTTGAATACAATGAGCCTTCTAGTGGGGACATTTTGGATTCCAAACACTACCATCATCCTCTTTAATCCAAATATATCAATACTGAGAAACCAAGATAGAGCACATGATTTGCATAACTGTGAGGGCAATAAAAAAAAAACAACTGAAAACCAGGTGTGGCAGCATACACCTGTGATTCCAGCTACTTAGGAGGCTGAGGCAAGAGGATCGCAAGTTTGAGACTTTGTGTCAAAGTAAAAATAAGAAATGCTGAGGATGTAACCCAGTAGTGAAGTGCTTGCTTAGAATGCACAAGTTAGGCCCTGAGTTCAATGTCAAGTACCACAAACAGAGAAAATAAAAACAACTAACAGGAAAAGTATCATTAGTGATTTGAAAGATGGAGCTGTAAGTACTTTGACTATTCAGGACACATCCTTGGATGACCAATGTCACTTACCCTTCATCCCTAAGATTGGTCTACAAATCTGTCCCTGCCACCACACAGACCTGTAGTCATAATCTCAAGGCCATAGGCATATACATTGGTGCTCAGAAGACCTGAAGCACCTCAGTGCACAGAGTAAAAGCAGTTAAAAGTTCACCTAAAGTTGGACCTCCTGAATCATATCTGCAGAACACAGTCAGATGGGCCTTTGAAACCTTAGGTTAAATGAGGCCACATGTATTTTCTCAGATCTAAGCCTCCTTGGTGTGGGCAAAATTGTGTATAGACAATATTAAACTTGCTAAAGTAGAATCTCATAAGTTTCTGATTTGTCTCTTCAAGTAAATCCCTAGTTTCTCAAGGCAGGATAATTTTTATGCCAGTCCCCTACCCCCAAACAAGTGCCTGACAAGTGACCTCTGAACACTGATCATTGTAGGAGGCTGGACGTAGACAACCTGTGAGAGCCAGGAATCAGCTACTGTGACTACTGACACCTGATAATCACACATGCCCTCCCTTCCTCTCTCCCCTACCCTCCCTTCCTGTCTCTGGAAACCAAGACAAAAATATCTGTTTGTACACACACCAGTGAAGGTCCCAATCCCCCTGAACTGTAATTGTAAGCATTTTTTTTTTATCACCAAAGGCTTATATGGCTCTGCTGTATGCTGTGGTCTGTTTAAGAAGCATTGAACTCGGCATCAGGTGTGAAATCTGTATTCAGTATAAGTTTCTCTCTTTTTCACCCCTGACCCTTAAAGCTACCAGAGAAAATCCACAGCATTTACAAACCATTCAGTTTCTCTGCCTCTTTATTTTTTTCTAATCAATCTCATTCATTATTCCTGGAATATACCACTGTTGTCTATTTCATAGAGTGATTGTAAG